GTGTCTAAATAATCTTAGAAAGTACATTATAACTCGGAAAAACTCACATTGGTACCTACTTGCTGTCGGTAGGTTTCGAACCCGCGCCATCATACATAAGAAGCGGGGCGTCTTAAACGTCCGGGCCACCACGACTACCACGTTGGCATTCTGTGCAGTCCTTTGTATTCTATGTTATTGGTCGCATTACTGCTAGAAGTGAGCAGCTACTGCAAAATAAGACGTTTCAGTACTAGATTCAGTAAAAATAAAGATTCCGCAGTCGTCATTTTTATTTATTCTTACTTCACTAACTTTTGAAAATAATTTTGTTTGAATTCAACCTAATTTGTACATTAATAGGGTAGACGACTAATTTTTATTTTATATATATGCCCGTCTGATAGATTATTTAAAAACATAAGACACGTATTTTTTATTTTCTAATAGAAACGAATACTTTCAACGATATGTTGATTTAAAATGTCGCGTGACGTCACTTCTCAGTACATTTTATAATAAGAAATAACGTTTTAGCCCCCACTCCTAAACTTTGATTCGTTTTATCTAAGTATTGTTTTTTTATACGACGACGAACGTGTCTAATATTTTTTAATTGCCTAACTTACGGATTATTTGTCTATGGCTTTAATTTTCATACCCTGTCATCATCCCCATTGTGTGCATAAGCGTACGTAATATTATTTTTGTGTATGTGTATTTTATTATGTATCTATAGATAAGTGATATTTTAGGTACATACTGTAGCTAGTATCATGATTAGGTAGATACCTACCGGATATAGCATTCATATAATACTATAACATGCAATTTGTACGTAGGTATATAACTATCATACAATCGCGTGGCTCTCGTAATTACATTATAGTGCATGAATGATAAACATAACTGTCTACCTCTAAATCTACCTGTATGTAGTGCTGAGTAAATAAGTATTATACCTAATGGCAATATATTCAATTGACGCCGTATATGCTGCCAAAAGCCCCAGCTTGGCTAGAAACTGGTTAGGTACCTACTTACTAGTAGGTATGTATCTTCCTCAAACAGCTACGAACTTCTAGATCTCATAAAATAAGAGAAGGGCAGTAAATTACAATGTTATTAATACTATTAATTTTTTTTAAATTATTATTAAGATAACATATAGTTAAATAATTATGACTGCCTCATTGGCCGAGTGGTCGCAAGCGGGACTGCTGGGCAAGGGGTCTCGGGTTCAATTATCGGGTCGGGTAAAGTATTACTGGGTTTTTTAAAAATCTCAGTAGTAGCACGGAGTCTGGATATGTGCCCGGTATATGGCAATAGACACACCCGCTATTATATGGGACTCATAACAGAAATAATAAAAAGTGGGTGTTACATTGTACAGTGGCATTAAGTGCCGTAATGTGCACCTCTGCCTATCCCTTCGGAGATAAAAGGCGTGATGATGTTATGTTATACATATAATAATTATAAATCAATAACCCGGCCTGTACCTACAAAGTACCTACATAATGTTCATGTTTACATACAATCTGCACGTGCACCAAAATGTCTTTGTTCGAAATGAGATATTATTCAAAATGGATTTGGCCGTTTATCTTTCATGTAATACATTGCAATTTTCTTAATTTTTTTTATTCAAATACCTACTGATCACTATAATCGGTACAATACAATATGTACAGTTCATTTTCATTTTAAAAAGTTCATGCAACTTTTTTATCAAATTGCTCTTCCCGCCCTGTGTGAAGCATGATAGAGTAATGCCGGAATACTGAAACGTTACTTAATTTTAAGTCGTGCTCAAATATCGTGCCATCTCTGTCATTTTACAAAGAATTTGTAGAGATAGAACTATACTTAAGCACGACTTAAAATTGAGTAGCGTTTCAGTATTCCGACATAAGAGTCCGAACTCTTAACACGTTAACCGCCGCGTAGGTAACCGGTGAACTACGTTAGCGGAGGATTTGCCTTCAGCACTTTTCTGTCGGCAGTCAAAGGCTTAATGACTAAACACCACCCTGTTCTAATTCCTGCTTTGAGCTGGGGAGCCTCGGTAGCCATTGCGGCTTACTGTAGCCCCGGTCCGCGCGCGCCTCAAAAAGCCATCAGACCACCACAGATGGAGCCCAACAAGGCCGATGCCGATTCGGAGTCGCGGAGAACCTAACGGGTAACCGGGGCTCCGGCTCAACGTGCAGGAGATGGAACAGGGTGGTTTTTTGTCAGTAAGAGTCTGACACTCCCTCCCGCCTCACTCAGGCGGAAGCAGTCATTCGATGATTTTCCCCCTTAAAAAAAAACTGTAGCCTCGGTCAAGTTCATTCACCCTAAGAATGACATTGAAATTATTATAACAAATTAATCCGTTTTATCAATATTATAATAAGGTTAGGTATAATTAATTACAAGTACCCGATAAGTTACTTAGTAACAAAACTAGAAACAATATCTTCAATACTTATCTTCATACGTCTAGTGGGTACTTAATGCAATCTTAAGTAGCTATTGAATTCATATCCGTAATAATTTAAAGCAACTTATATTTTGTTGTACTTAGGTACTTGAAACCTTTTTTTTTTATGTTGTCCTACTACAGTACTAGGATTTTTTTTCCATGTCGAGGATGCATTTATAAAGTAGGTATGCATACAAATTCATTGACGTCTAGTGCGAAAGAGTTGAATTTTTATATTTTAAATTCTAACTTATAGCAATTTTTTATGTGATAAGCCAGTGAACGAGCAGACGGATCACCTGATGGTAAGCAATCGGCGTCGCCCATGGACACCTGGAACAGCAGAGGCGTTACAAGTGCGCCCTCTTAGGATTAGGAATTTGAGGATTGTTGGGGATTCAGGGAATGGGGGGGGGGTATTTGGGCCTCCGGTAACCTCATTCACGTGACGAAACACAACAAGCGTTATTTCACGTCGGTGTTCTGTGAGGCCTTGGTATCACTCCGGTTGAGCCGGTCCATTCATCCAAACTCCGAATACTCCACAATCCTCAAATTCCTAACCCCCACAAGGCCGATAACGCCTTGTAACGCTTCTGGTGTTCCATGGGCGATGCCAATTGCTTATCATCAGGTGATCCGTCTGCATGATTACCGGCTTATCCCATAAAAAGAACCTATAAGTGTCTGACTGTCCAAGACACAAATATTGACGTAACATGATAATCATAAACAGAAGCCAATCGTAAGGAAATCAAACCTTGAGGTTCAACGTCCGGTGTGGAAACGATTATTGCTTCAGTCGATGTTACGAATTACCTACATATGTATATATTAGGTGTATAGGTACCAACCAACATAAAGAAAAGTTGTTATAAATATAAAAAGAGTTAAAATGCATTTGAACAAGATTGGTTAACCTTTTGAAATATCATCCCCTAAATTTGTTCATACAAAAGTAGTCTCTAAACACCTATAATATCAATAAGGCAATAAGGTCTATAATGTAGTTAGTGGAGAGCGGTCACCGGTGACCGCTACGGGATTTTTTTTTAGTGGGAAATTCATCTAATGACTGCTCCCGCCTGGGTGAGGCGGGAGGAGTGTCAGACTCTTACTGACTAAAAACCACCCGTTCCTTCTCCTGCACGTCGAGCCGGAGCCCCGGTAACCCGTTAACCCGGTTCGCTTGGGGATAAGTGCATAAGACGTGAAAAGTTCTTACATTCCCGTTTACAAGTACCTCCTAATCAGTTTTTATTTAACTTTATTTACCATGGATAGTCAAATAAATATCAACTTATTGCAACAATAAATAGAGTACTTTATCATTTCCCGTCAATTTCATAAGAGGTGATAAGGTGAATTTGGCTTTCATCCGGCATTGCACTATGAAAATTATGTCAAAAGTATTATTGTGGTCAAACGGTCAAACAAATCATTGAAAACTGCATATGAGACATATTTTTATCTTTAAATATTAGACTAATTATTTTAGGTAATCCACATTACAAAAAAAATAAAAAATAAAGCACCGATGATTACAATAGACATAAACAGCATTAACCAACATGGTTTCCGGTCAAATGTTCGATAGTCAGAAAGATAAGTAGAAATTAAACACACCATACAGATATTATAAGTCATTAATTACAATACACATAGTTAGGTACATCCGCAATAATAATAATAGGTGCATATTTTATGAAAGTAAATATAAACATATAAACATTAATATTTAGAAAATAAGAGAGACAATTCAATCTATTTGGATTTATTTATTTATTTTTGAGAACGTGGTGCGCTACTAAGATTTTCTTCTATAATATATATAATAATAGATAATCGATTCCTAGAATGTATCTAGTAATCGATTACTACACAGCACTCTGTCGTCTACTACACCAACCTTGTTACTTGTTACTCTTTGTTTACAAACTAATCATATGAAATTGTCTCGTTTATCAGTCTAAAATTTATCATCACGCGTATCGCACAAGGACGTGAAGAATATATTTTTTTAAACATTACGTCAAATTAGTTGATAATAATTAATATGCAATAATTGTAAACTATTCCGTTAGATAATGAGACGACTGATTGTAATTTACTTCCTTTATTTAACTATTGACAAAAATAAAAATATAAAACGATAAAATAAAAATCCACAGAAATATGCGTTCAAAATTAATTACTTAAAAACAATTTGAAATGATTTAAGCGCGAAAACAGCTGTCAGTGCACGATCAAATTCTGTTTTCAAAAATCTGACATGACGGATATTTTTTTTAATTACAATAAAAAAATAAAAATAAAATAGAAACTTCGTGTCGACGGACTGTGCAGCTCGTACATGTTTATAGAGAAAGTTATCATACATTTTCAATACTCAATACTTAGTCAATCAGTTGAACTTTGAACATACTAACAGACGGTAGTTGGTTAGAGTTATAATTACACGCGTGTAATATCTTTTAATTGATAAAATATATCGTAATATTAACGTAACTCAGTATATTATCGTTTGCACGTAGAGTGACATTATAAAATGATAGCGTCAATTATTGCTCTATACATTTCGTCTTTTAATGCAGCCGTAAATTTCTTTACGCGTCTCGTATTGATTTTATTGACTGCGTGTGTTTATCATGGTTTTGTTTTGGCTGAAGTTTTTTTAAATCACTATTCTGTGTTCTCGCCGTACTTGGCTAAGCCAGTTGGTGGTGTTTTGTGTGTGGTTTCCGATGTGTTAAGTTATTTTGTCAGGATCTGTGCAGTGCAGGTAATTCATCATCAATCATTAAAAGATCATCATGCCTGATTGTGCTATTGATTTTTCCCGTCCCGCGTCATATTAAATATCGTCGTGCACACAGAAATATTATTCTTTGATATATCTGTGGTCGTGCAAATACCTAGTGATAAACAATACCTAATTTTTAAAATTACAAAACGATCTCATACTGCATTCGATATTCAAATCGAAGAGCAAAAGCCTTCTGCTCGCCGTGAACACTTTTAGAAATAAATTAATATGTACGTATATCCAAAATACTTGTGTAGTACCTAATATAAACAAAAGCACACCCAGAATCCGTTTAGTTCATGTTATTGTATGTTCCTTTGTTGTCTAAATAAACAAAACAGTAACATCAACAGTTGATTCATATCAAATGTAGACATAATCTATAATTAGGTTCTAAAGTGCATTGTTAACGAACTTATATAAGAACCTCTTCCATTTTGGAAAATGCATTAAAAATAAGTTGAATCTTTTTTCGTTGCCGGAAATTATGACTTACTACTTTTGATAATAACTTACCTATCCTATAACCAAATTCTATTTAACAAATTAGGTAAATTAAGTATGATTTATTGTTACTTACTTAAGTATAGATATAGGAATACTTATTTGGTTTTTGTTGATGTAATACTTAAATAACCATTTTAATTTCGGATTGACATGGCTTTTAAAAATATTTAATAAGTACCTACTTAGGTGGAAATCTAATAATTAATGACCTATTATTAATAAGCTATTAATTATTATTATTATTTTAGTAAAGTTGCGAACAAAATGATATTCTCGTAGGTACCTGTATGGGAGTGCGAGTTATTCAAGACTCTTTTTTTTCTTTTATTCAAGACTCGATTACACATGGTGTCCCAATAAGTATTTGGCAAACTGTTTTTTGTTCTAAAACCAGTGATCCGCGCATTTGTGATGATGATGAAACTCGCATTTATAGTACTAATGTTACCATTGCTTTATAATTGCATTGCTAAATAAATTAGGTATTTTAAAAGTACCTACTTTTGACAAAGAAATTGTAGGTACCTAGGTACCTAGGTAATCGGTCCAGAATTGCTGTAGGTACTACTACATCGGAATTCATTAATACTTTTCCTCAATCCTGACTGTATTCATTTAATAAAAAGGATTTTCTTCAACAATTCTATACAACTTATAATTGGTGTACATGTACAGTCTAAATGCTGTACCAATTTGCTTAGGTACCTCTTTGTGGTAGGTACAACAGACGTGATTATGTAACACAATATTATGTTATATATTTTAAAACCACCTTATTCAACTACATGCAGTATGAAGCACGTGCAATAACGACATCAACTCGGATTGCAAAACTGAGATAAAATTAGTAGATCTTTGAGATAAACACAAGCACTCGTGGTTTGAAATAAACTGTCAGCCGTCAGAGTTGCAATAAGACAAAATATTTTTATGTAAAAAAATTTTGTTATGTTATGTGTACCTAAGTACCTACTGGTTGAGCAACTACGAATCACGAAGCTTTTTTTTAAAATAAAATAAATAAATACGTACAATGAATGTACTACAACTGCAGATACGGTAGGAGTATCACAATATTGTAAAGTTACCAATGTACCTACCACTGTAAAATTTTTGGGCGCTGTGTAGTCGTTTGTTGTAGTAGGTACTACCAGAATGTCTCTACAATAGACAAAATAAAAAGCTAACTTGAAGGGTGTAATGCATTATACAAAATGAACTGAGACCACGTTAGTGTTAATATAGGTAAATACGTAGCTAAAAAGATTGCAGTGAATATTAGCAAAAAATGTCTGTTATGACGTTTTGTTCTTAAACATACCTTTTTTTGAGGTGGAAAATCATCCAATGAATTCTCCCGCCTGGGTGAGGCGAGAGGGAGTGTCAGACTCTTACTGACTAAAAACCACCCCGTTCCTACTCCTGCTCTTCGAGCCGGAGCCCCGGGGACCCGTTAAGTCCGTTAAGGCTCCGTATTCTTAAACATACCTGCATATAAAATTCACGCACTGATTTTGAACTTTTTTTTCCAGACAATCATGATGAACGCGTTCATGCGAAGGTTCCTCCGCTTCATGGTGTCACTGCTGGCGATAATAGTCGTGCCTCTGACATTCCTGCTGAACCTGAGGAGGAACAAGAAATGTCCGCCACCCACGAACCCTCTACTCTTTAAGTCCGCTACTCAGTTAGCAGAAATGATAAGGACTAGACAGGTAAAATTTTACTCTATGCCTTGGCTGTTGATAGTTCAAATTCGCTTGAATAATTCTGCAATTAGACATAGGTTAATTATGCATTAACAACGGCGGTTAAAATTGCCCTGGTAGTAAAATAATAGGTAGAAATAGTGGAATTAATCTTTATATATCATTATCTGGGTTAAAAATGAGTGCAATTCCTTGTGCGTACTGCTAAGGAGTAGAAATTTTAGACAGAGTCTATATTTCCTGAAGGGTATCTAGGTGTCTTCAAAGCCCGAGTGAATAGGTTGCTTATGGTTAGACGTGCTCCATCGTAGACCGCATCATCGCTTACCACCAGGCGAGATAGTGGTCAAACGTCGGCCCATCAAATATATACAAAAAAAAATTATTACCTACAACTTACAAACAACTGGCTATTAACTTAAATGTTCAAATTAAATTGATAACAACAATATAACTTCCGAAAACATAACTTACATATCAGGAACCTTTAACAATCGTAATAAATAGCATTGAATTGTTCCAAATGTCATACAATACTAGAGTTAAAAGAAAGGTTCACCTTGTAGCGAAAAGGTTGCAGTAACCTTTGAAATAACCGTGACCCAGTCATCTTGTATGTGCCATGACTATGAGGTCAATGACCCGAGAAATGGGACTTCTCATGGAAGCAGGTTGCATTACCATCCGCATTCCAGCATCGCCTAATGATGTTATTTATTGTGAAGCTTAAGGTGACATCTAGCTAAGTATTGTTTGATCCACTTTCTGAACCAGTTGGCAATGTAAAATAGAGCGACAAAATCTTCCGGTTAAGCACGTGTGCTTTGACAAAGATATAAGTAAAAAGACTTAACAGAAAATATAACCTTGTAAATATTGTTCTAATGTGTCCATAGATTATAACTAAATGAATAAAGTTAAAGTACAACAAGTAACGCCATCTAGATAAAAGTATGTGTACTGTGCTTGTTACTCTATAAAAAAATAATTATGTCTGTTTCCAACTACTATCCGTGGTTTTATTAAAAAGTCACTTCTACTACATATTTCTTTAATAAACGTATTTTGTATAGTAAGTAACGAAACACAGGCATTGAACATATGCAATTACCAAACATACATCTGATAGGTACATGCCAAACAAAATGACACAATATTTTTTATAGGTAATAATTATCATGAGACATGCCGAATTAAATAAAAATTACGAGTTTCTCACGAAGATATGCTAGAAAACCTCTACTAGTTTCGAATCACAACGGGACTCTTCCTAATGAGCAGCGTGCGCGGTTGTAGCGATGTCGGGGCGATGTCGCGCAGTAGTTACAGAAGGTTAAAAATACACATTGTTATCTCAAACCTAAAGTTCAAGTTCATTTGTTTCAGGTCACGTCTGAACAAGTTGTAGAAGCTTATATAGAGAGATGCAAGGAAGCCAATCCCTATTTGAATGCTATCGTCGAACCAAGGTACGATGCCGCACTGCGAGAAGCTAGAGGCATTGATAAGATGATAACGTCGACGGATAGGACGCCTGAAGATCTGGAAAAAGAATACCCGTTGTTAGGCGTTCCTATGACTGTGAAGGAAAGCATTGCTGTGGAAGGTATGCATGGTTTTGTATTTGGTTAAATGATCATTAGGTAGTAGATACTACTACTGGTTAAGTAGAGTTGTAAAAAATAGAGGTTCTATTCATTCATCATTTGTATACCTACACCTACCTGTTCATATTTAAGCATGCATGGAGTTCTTGCATCTGGTATTCAGTCTATTGTTTGTTTTTGCTCAACTTTCCTTAAATAAACAATTTTACTCACACATTACTACGACACCAATTCATTCACAACCTGATACATAAATAGCCACGAGAAAAACCACACACATTCAGAATGTCAATTAAACAAACGACCTAACAAATTAACTATTAAAATTCCAGGCATGAGCAACGATTGTGGTACAGTCTACCCATATAGGAATCCTGCAAAGAGAGACGCGGCTGTTATAAGGCTAGCAAGAGCGGCTGGGGCTATTCCCATCGCTGTCACCAACACACCACAGCTCTGCATGAATTGGGAGACCTATAACAACGTAATTGGTATCACCATGAACCCGTATGATCAGAAGAGGACCACTGGTGGATCTTCGGGCGGAGAAGTAAGTTTGCCATTTTGGTTTGAATAAAAGGGTAGGGAATAGATTACCATCCATATGAAAAAGTAAAAAGAGCCTTAATGTACCTAATGAATAACAATGAAAGAGCTGACAGAAAGCCGAAAGTACGTTTTATTGTGGTGTAATTATTTTGTACCTACAACAGACGTTTGTACTATTCTACGAATATATCATTAGATAAATGTTATAACAAAACTTGCCAATATACGTAGGTACGTAGGTATGTATGTAGGTACACTTTCTCCGCAAAATGGGAGCTACTTGTCAGGTCAAATGGTTTCTACTTAATGTTCTTTTTGTATCTTTTCATCACAATAATACACAATGGCTTCAAATTAGTGGCACTGCTATTGTTATCTGGTTACCAGTAACAACATTACCCATTAGATTAAGCAAGAGCTTAGCTCTGCAAACTGGTGGTCAAAACCAACCTAACGCAATGGTCACGACTTTTACGTAATAAACTCACTCAAGTGTGCAGTTTAATTTAGGTAATATTTCATAAGAGGTAGGGTACTTATTTCAATGACATCTAAGTGTTTTAAACACCAGAAAGAGTAATAAAAGTACAATGGATATGGATTACGTGACTTGCATTATGCTTAAGAAATCTGTTATGAGACTGATCTTTCGGTTTCATATCATGGGCATTTTTTTTCTTCTCCTCTTGTATTATCTTCTGATTCACTTCGTTGTGGGAATCAAGACAGTTATTCATGTCCCTGGGACGCGCCGGACTTTAGTGTTCCGGAGTTTTCATGGTTGTATCTACTGTAGATCCTGACTTACAGGAGTTGCAGCGGTTTTAGTAGGTTGTGGCGGACTTGTCCCAATTAAAAAAAATCCTGGGCCTATCAACATGAAGGTACTCTGAATAAGATGAAACTTACTTAGAAATGTGTACTGTCCACGTACGTATCATATTAGTATTATAGAGGTAATATCCGCTACTATCTACCAATTTCAATATTTTTGACTTTATAAGTATTGGAGTTTCTACCAAAAATAGATGTTAATCCACTGATATTGGATTGTGATCGAGTATTTAAATCGGGAGTAAGGATGCTACATTAAATGAATAGAATAAAAAAAATAACTTGATTAGAAATGAGAAAAATAAATGACCAACAACTCCAAAATTGTAATAGGTTAGTCTTAGGTAGGTCCAACTGTGGTAACGATGGAAGAGTTCCAATTTAAACCGCAATTCATAATTGCTGCTTTAATATTACTATAAGTACTTACCTACTCAAATCAGGTAAAACCCATACCAGTCATAGCGTACTAAATGTAGGTGCAGAGAATTAGGAGAAGCTTTTGACTACTTAACAATAATAACTACTGACTCATTTAGAATTACAACTGTGTCAAGGCCTTGGGTAGGTATTTTTCATTCCAGTTTATTTTGCTCTGTCATTATAAGCTTATCTGGAAGAAATTGTCATAATATGAAGGTGGTATCTGTGCGTAGCTTCTATTCTGCACGAAGAGCATCTGCCAGGGCAGACAAAAAATTGCGATTGTTTATTTTCGAAATTTACCTTATTTGCTAGGCTCAGTCTTTAATGGATTTATGATCCAGTACTATAAGACTCACAAATGCCATCGGCGAAAAGTTGGTGTTAAAAATTGCAACATCATACTTGTGCCATTCGCTTATCTATCATCATCTACTGGCAGCATGTACATCATAAATTTCTTCTTATTTTCAGTCGGCGTTGATCTCAGCAGCAGGATCCGTAATCGGTGTTGGATCAGACATTGCTGGATCTCTCCGACTGCCGCCCATGTTCACTGGTATATTTGGACACAAACCTACCCCCAGACTCATCTCAGTTGAAGGTAAACGATAACTTTCATATTAACTACGACTACACAATGATATTATACTTTATTGACTACAAAAGGAATATTTATTTATCCTTCATGTAACTTATAATTGCGGAATTCAGAAGCAGACTCAAGGTTATTAGATTAAAGGCTACCTATAAACCTTGTATCAGTTAAATTACTTTTAGATACTCACGGTCCTAAAGATTTTTGAAATGTGCGGTTCTAAGTTGTCCAAAAATTGTATAACATTCGCTAAACGATTGTCCTGTTGTTATTAGTAATAACTGTTACCATATCTTTCTTTAATTTCAGGTCATGTACCCGACTGCTTAGACCCTGACTTCGAAGAATACTTCACACTTGGACCTATCGCGCGCTACGCCGAAGACCTAACACTACTCTTGAAGGTGTTGAGGCAACCTGGTGGTCCGGAGGTGCCTTTTGACAAGCCGGTACGTTAATTAAATATTTTGAAAAAGAAATTACATATCGAAAAGAAAAACTGGCTACAACGAGTGTTTGAGTGTCATGCATCTGACAAGCAATAGATTCTAGATTTAATCATTAGACCCTTCAGATAACGAAACGCTTGAAAGTATCTTATAAAGAACCCTTGTAAAATAAAATTAAAAAACTTAATACGAAACCAATGCTAACACACAAATAATATTTCTTTCCCAGGTTGATATTTCAAAACTGAAGTTCTACTATATGGATGGTGATGGCAGTAATGTGACCGATCCCATTGGCCCTGATGTCAGACAAGCAATGGAGAAAGCCAAAGATCATATTAAGAAAACGTATAACATTGAAGTTAAACCGGTACGTATAGACAATCGAACTAAAGCTTTCGACGATGCTGCTCCATAATACGCACATGCCATATAATCCTTTAAAGCTAGCTTTCAAATCTAATAATTTCCTATTGTACTTACAGCTGAAAATTAAAAACATAGAACACATGTGGGAAACGAGCATCAGAATCCTGTTAAACATCAAACACGTCCGCAACATTTACACGGACCCAGAGAAACGGGACCAATGGGTCTCAGTATGGCCCGAAGTGCTGAAGACATTAATAGGAATGTCCAACCACAATTTCATATGCGTATGCTATGGACCACTAACAAAATTCTTTGACGCGCTACCAAAGAGTTACTACAAGAAACTGCTCTCCATTTTTGATGAAATCAAGGCTGAGTTTGAGGTAAGTTGACACTCAAACATGAAACGAAAGAAGACTTACAAGTTTACCACCGTTAATGGTGAGGATTAACTTTTACTATCGGTTACTTACGTTTGATTTGATTTGATTACAGAAAGTACTGTCCGACGACGTAGTGCTCCTGCACCCAACGTTCCCAACTCCAGCACATCTGCACTACAGAATCTACTACAAATTCCTCAACTGTGGATATCTTACGATGTTCAATGCGCTCGGGTTGCCTGTCACTCAGTGCCCAATTGGGCTTTCAAGGAAAGGTCTACCCGTCGGCATACAGATCGCCGCCAACAAGTGCAATGATCATCTAACAATCGCTGTTGCTAAGGAATTTGAGCGGGCGTTTGGAGGCTGGGTACCCCCGAACAAAGAACTAGCGAACAGTATAAAAACTGCGTAAACATTAGCTTTAAGGATTATTTGGATTGAAATGTTCGCGTGTAGATACCAAAAAATGCTTGAAATAATTATGTTTATTTTAAGCGAAACTTCTGATGAGTGATCATAGCACAAGCTTTTGCAGGGTCAAAATGATACCGTCAAGTCAAAGGTCTATTGGTAAGAAGGGTCTTAAAAGCAGAATTCTGCTCAATGCTCAAGACAATGGGGATGATGACAGGGTATGAAAATTAAAAATATAATTAGTCCGTAAGTTAGGTAATTAAAAAATATTAGACACGTATTTTTTTATTTTATCGTATAATAAAACAATACTTAGATAAAACGAATCAAAGTTTAGGAGTGGGGGCTAAATAAAATAAATAAATAAATAAATATATCTTCGAAACTATTCGTTTCTGTGAGAAAATAAAAAATACGTGTCTAATGTTTTTAAATAATCTATCAGACGGACATTAAAATAAAAATTAGTCATCTACCCTCTTCTAATATGGCTACATGTTGCTGCTGTTGTTTGTTTATTTATTTAATTTGTTATTCCATTTTTAATTATTAACTTTCGATTTCGGAACGGAACAGAGGTTTTCTAGGATTATAATACTTCAACATTATCTACTCTATCACAATTTTTGCCTTCCCGAGGATGTTGCCTTCACTAAAGTATTAACGTTGGTGTTGATTATAAGATTTAGTTTCGTAATACTTAGGCCGTAAGACTTAAACCATGTTTTTGTTACATATGTTTCTGTCTTTCTCTTGCACTTATCAAAAATAATTAAGTAGAAAGAAGACAGGAATATTGCTTAGCCAAAGCAAGTGACAAACGAATGTATATTTATCTCAATATTAGTTCTTAGGTACGTTTAGGTATACAATACAAATATTTTGTATATTTTTACGCTATTTAGTTAAGTAATGAGGTAAGATACAATGTAAATGTGATATTAAGACATCTGCCTATTATTCGAATGTAACTTAATTATTTAAATAAATATTTTCGTTTATAACTAGCGTTTTTTATTTTGGGTTCAATGAAATCATCCTACTGATTTCAAATATCCCACATAATGCGCCATGACCTCGGAAATCATAACTACACCATAAAGATTACTTCATGCAAATCACAGATATCATAGGTACTTGGTAATTAAACTGGGCACACTGCCATTGCTTAGCAATAAAATAAATGCAATCAATAAAATATGAAAATTAAAATACCATCACCGGTTAAATAAACCATTCTTTTTTCAAATTAATGTCCTACACAAAGGTGTATCACAGGTCGACAGGGTATTTACCCATTTGTTGAAATACTTACCAACTTAGACCCTTTTTAAACTACCAATAATCACTCTCGAAGAGGATTAATTAAGCTACCACGAATTGAGTTACTCGGGCTGAAAAGTTATCACAAGCGCGAGCACATGATAACGGTTCAGCAGAGTGGCGACCAAGGCTACCATTGGGCACAGAAATGCGAGACAACGTATGGTGACCCGCGAATGATGATTTCAGAAAGGAGGTGGACAAGGTGGTGGCAATACGAAAAGAAAGACGACCAGTTTATTGATTAAGTGTTGGTACCTAACGGGCAACAGAAAAAGTATTTTTTTTAAATACATCAAATAAAATTAACTGTTACATATTTTTAGTTATTCAATTTTAAACTGTATCGGTGCATACTTAAAATACTTATTATCGTGGTAACTGTATGAAGTAAACTTCCCTTTTCAAGGTTAATCTCTATGTCTAGGACAAGCACACGACATTGTGCGGTAGCCGTGTAGGTTGTTGGTATTACGTTAAGTTTGTAAGGTTTCTCCGTGCACCATTACTAGAAATCGTGCTATTTGCTCATTATGCTGTAATATAAATGAGTAAGCAATCAGCTATACTTAAAAATATATTAGGTACCTACTTATTAGTTTTAGTTAGTAAGTCAGTAGTAATACGTTAAGTTCAATCAATATAGCTGCCTACTGCCTATATATAATAAAAATTATACGAACATTTTAATAAAATCAAATTAAAACTAGATTATTCATTTTAAAAGTGCAATATCGATAATCGATTCAAAAAACGCGGCCTTGACATGGCTCGACACTGGAATCAGAAAGTGTTGCTACGAAAACACTTATTCCACAGTTAAACACATTACACCTATCAACGCTTTTATCATTTTATTGTGTTTATGCTAAACATCTCCAAAAGCTACAGATTTCTAAAGCTTTATAAACTTAAACAAGGAATGCCAATACTAATTCCCAATTACTACAGTAATAAATACAGACACTGAAAATTGTACGAATATCAATAATTTTTTTCTTTTTGCTAGCAATTCTACTTTTTCGACATCATATTTTGTCCTGGCAACTATAGCATAACATCACGTTACAAAATTCTATGGCAGAAATCAAAGACAAAATTATTTTTTTTAAATCTTCGCTTTGCTAATTTACAAATTTAGTCTTACTTAAAATTGGTAAAATTTGAAAACATATTAATGTAAATGAGAAAAAATAGGGAATTCATTTTATTTTATTTAAATTAAATTTTAACACATTAGTCACTAAGGGAAATAAATTATGTGACAATTGAGTTGACAGAATCTGTCAACCAGTTTGACGAATATGAAATTTAGATTGATTTTCATTTTCAATAAATAAAATTAATCGAGACTTGATAAAAAATTACAACTTTACAAATTTTTGCAACGTTCCATCCAATTTTAGTCTATTATTTTTTATTTGCTAATACACGAACAACGCACGCGCAGAACACCCATCGCCCAAAAATCTCCGAGCGCCATATTGAGAGGCAGACGTTGTATGACTTGAGTGATTAATCGTGGTTAGTGCAATAATTTGAAGTGGATTATTTGATCGTGCCCTATGGATATACTCTCGGGTACGTAATAAGTGGAAAAGTGTATCTTCAAGATGTTAATACTCACCCAGTGAGCCCTGGCAAATCACATCGTAACCTAGACATAGGCCGTTCTAGTTATCAGTAGATTACCTAGGTATCATCAATCCACTGTTTGCTCACAGTTTTAATCTTATTAATAACACGTGTGTGGAATAGCCATAGGTTTCTTGAATCTAGTTACATTAACAAGATTATGCGATCGCTTCGCAAGGTTCCACGCTCGTATATAAACGGATTTCGATGTGTTTATGTCGGCAGTTGACAGAAGCGTTTATGTATATGACCGATCATAAGTCACCACACCCAGTGACCGGATTGTCGGTTTTAGTATTTGATCGTTTTTATTTCGAATGATTGTTCGCGCGTTGTCGCGTCGGTGCGTGTTTTGTGATATTAGTGTCGTGCGTTAATGTGATACAGTGAGTGTAATAATAATGTAATTTCTAGGAGTGGTGTGCCTCGGTTGAAAGGCCTGCCGGAAGGAAAAGGCTCCACACAAGAGGAAGAAGGACTGCGGCACTCCGCTCTTGGGCATCATGGAGTGCTGCATGTCGGAGGAGGCGAAGGAGCAAAAACGAATAAATCAAGAAATCGAGAGGCAGTTGCGAAAGGACAAACGAGATGCTCGTCGCGAACTCAAATTGCTTCTGCTTGGTGAGTGCTCAATGTGATTCTAACTGGAAACTAGTGTGTATCCCATTAGAAAAACCCATATGTAGAACCTATGGGACTTATATCACATAAATCAATCTGAGTGTTCCGCTTAACTAAATCATAACCCTGTTCATGATCAATTGTCCAATAATTTGACTACTCCTTTTAGATGGCCCACATTAGTATGAGGTCAATCAGTACTTGTGAAGTATGACTTTAAAATAGATAATGATGCTATTAGTTTAGAGAAGTGAGGTGAGTCAGATGGCTCCGTACTAAAGTTCACACCTGATCTGTGAACTTGTTGAGCAATATTGGCAGAATACAGTGCAAAGGTTCTCTGTGGTCTAGATATTTATGTACAACTCAATGATATTTGTAGTTAAAAATACTTAGGTATTGCTAAAATGTAATCTGTCTTAAAGAAGTACCTATATAATGTTTTAAAATATTTTTTACCGAAGCAAGTGTTCTTTCCATTAACAGTTCTTGACTGATTTGTAGCATTGTGTCATCCTGTAATGACAGCAAGTGACAGCAAAAGCATGTTTAAAAATAGTAACATAATAACTTTGGGAATAAAATAACAAAATTATAACAGCAAAATTTCATGAAACCACAGCAGTTTTGTTATCAGTGCCCATCAAATTAACATAATTTATTAAGATTAATAAAATAATTATGCACATATACCAAGATTAGGAACACTATACTAATGCATTTGTTTACAATTCAATATTTTATTCCAAATAATAAGAACTGTCTAAACCATAAAAAAATTACCTTGGAGAAATGCCTGTTTTCTTGTTCTTGTCAATGTTATTGTACTTGTTTCCATGTGAAAAAGCTCATAGCAACAAGAGAATGTCTATTATTATCTAGGTTTCATAGAAAAACTTTAACACTTGACAAATCATTGTCCTCATGGGTCATTGAATTATTTTAATTTTCTCCATTATATTAGCTGAGAGACTCAGTGCTGAATATAGGTCTCATCCAATGATAACCAGAGTTCTTATCAGATTTTTCTTAATTTATATTGTAATGTTAGGATTCACTTGGAGGACATTCACCCACCTGCATGATCAGCACTAGTCAGCAATGTGATATCCCCTGAATATAGGAAATGCCACAATTATTACTGTTTTCATAGGAAGTGGACTTACTTACCTATGTGGTCATATTAGCATACTTCTGTTCTAATATTTGTTTTCATTTTCCTGTACCTATTGTAGTAACTCCACGCATTTGAATATAAGAAGAGCAATTTAGCATTTTTTCCCATTTATAAAATAGTCATTTATGTCAGTGTTATGATAAGTTGCACCTGCCATATTATCACAGATACACACACAGGCAAAAGTAGTTTTATCCTTGTGTATGTTAGAAGTACTTGTGCATGCTAGGATGAATAACTATGACTCTTTAGGTTAAAAAAAGTGTTATTATGAATGCACTCTTAGGTCCAATTGGTTCCAACAGGATACTATAGTTATATCAAGAATGAATTTAGATTTAGATATTTGATAAAATATTAATATTCTTATCATTGTGAATCATATTTCAGTAATGTAGTTCTTTAAAAATATTGTTATTTGGGTTTTTTGTTTCTAGTGAATTCAATGAATTTTCACTGTGGTTACTGTGGTCCGATGAAAAATGACCGTACTTTATTCACCATTTCTAACCTTAACGGTTTTACAGTCACCATTGCACTTTTCAAAGTGTAATAAATAATTAAATTACCGAACTTCCAATAAACTGCCACAAAATAGAAAAAAACCCACTAGCCTAATCTTATTGCAGTTTAATTTGAACAACCTTCAAATTCATAATAGGGTTATTTACTGTCATATATCTTATGAGTGACATATTAGGCTTTAGCTACAAATAACAGTAATCCAATAAATGTAAAAAATAAATCATATTAATCTGTCAAACACCAAGCGGTCACCGGTGACCGCGACCTATTGTTCTTTAATTGTGTCTATAAAACCGGTACTCGACGAGTTAATATCTACACTATTTAGTTTCATGACAACTAGACTAAAATTACCTTGACCTTTATAATTTTTTTATTGTTGCTACCTACTTTTAGATACTAGTTCCAGAAACCATCTTAGGAGTAAAAGGTACAGATATCAGCTAATGTTATATTAAATTCTAAGTTTTAAAAAAACCCATATCGTTACTTACGGTATCTGTACTGAATGAATTTAATTTATACCAGCACAAGAAGAACATCAACCTAACTCTATCTTTCGAATTTCCACAAAGCATTTCAACTCTTACAAAAACATTAAAGTAGAAATTCTAAAGACATATTTTATAGATCAGAGCAACTTGATCTGCCATTGTCGGATAGTTCATCATTAAAATATGTATAGAATAATTACATGGGGTTTCCTCTACATTGCTCAGGCCTATATTTATATTGCTTGAACATAGTATGTGTATGATGTCAACGTAACAATAATTATGGTCATAGTAACATACATTAAATTAAAATTGATTATTTTAACTAGTTTCTATGAAATTATTGTTTTTGTATCAAGATGGTAATTCTAATGCAATACTTATATTATTTGCTACTGAATTATAACAGTCATCGAAAAGACAAAATTACAAAAAAGTGTTTATTATCATGATCTAAGTTGAATTCTTTATTTATTTTATTCTATTGATCAAAAACCTTATTGCAGATTAAAATTAGGTACCTAGGTATTTGTTAGAATTTATTAAGGTTATTGTGTCTATACATATTATATTTCCAGCTTTGATTCAATATAATTTTATAACAATAATATCATTGTTATAGATAGGTATATTGTGTTCCGATGATTCAGAATGTTCTAGGTGCCTAGTTAACCCCATAAAATTACTGAGTTACTTATTTGTCTATATGACTGTGATACACATAAAATACCTACCTAGTTTAAAAATTAACATAATACTAATTTCTACATTACAAGAGGTGACATTTCTGCATCATAGGTGTTATCATTATAAAGACTTCATTATTTTTAATCATCACAATGCAACATAAAATGCTATTAATTTATTTGTACAAAATAGGCAAAACATTCAATTTCCTCTTGATTAGGTGAAGTTTTTAATTACATTATGATACTCTTTATGATGTAATACCTACAGCATTTACCTGCACTAGGTTGATGGGACAAGCCCGCCATAACCTCCCAAAACCCCTGCAACTCCTGTAAGCTACGATCGAATGTCATGTAAAATGTAAAATGTCATTTCTTAAATATCGCAACGAAATAAATCAGAAGATATTATTAGAGGAGAATAAAAAAAATGACAGTTTCTACTTCCCTCGGTGAATTTAATGCAGGTTGATAACTAGGTATTTAAATAGTTAGCTTTCTCATTAAATTGCATCTAACCTGGGGTTAGAACCTTGTCCATTAATTCTTGTTCCTAAAAATTTTTATGTATAGGTATAGTCCCTATCACTAACAATGCCTAGATATTTTGATGGTGGGGGTAAATTCGCACATTGTGTATTTTTTTATTGTTTTATGGGGTCATCACTTTTCATCATTCATGTCTACTTAGAAGAAAGTTGTATTCTTACACTTCTTTAGTCTTGGGAATTTGACTGAGATTTAGGTAAAATAACAAAATACAGTATGCATGATTTCATTTACCCCTACCACGAAAAATTTGGCTATGGATATTGCTGAATCAGAGGCTATATCAGCAGATTAAATTGCTGCTCCTAGGAATGTGCTGTAATAGGTGTTGCACAGTGGAGGCTCTGGAATGTTACACGCTAAGGCGTGTAGGAGAAAGACTAAGGTCCTTCTCCTCAAAGTCTAAGTACCTACCTTTTGCAAGGTTCTCCCGAAATAAAAAATCGTAGATCACCTAGTAACAGACTACATTATTTCCTTCAATAGATTTTCGACATTATTTTATCTTCCTTTTTTTAATAAAATTTAATAACTATCTCTGTAAAAAAGAATCAGTTTGGGTTAGATTGACGTGCTGCTTTCTGTACCATGATGATGATAATCAACTGTTCACATCTCACTTGGATTCTATAAGAAAAGTTAACTTGATAACATACATACACTTTTGAAACTTCAAGCCATAATAACTAATTGTCCTAAACTCATTTGTTAGTTGCTTATTTTAAATTAGCTAAATTAAAATGTGTTTTAAGTTCTGAAGGCATCAAAATGTTCTGCATCATCTAAAAGTTGATTAGTGTCAATGCATGGGTAATTAAACCCATGTACACTTTTTTGCATAAAACTTAATTAAGCTTCACTGAGAAGTTACAGTGGTAATAGGACTGTTCTTAGTGAATTGTAACTAGGTACACTTAATTTACGAATATGACGATGTGAACTAAAAAATACAAGTTAGCGATTATAGATCAATTATTGTTAAATGTCCCATCAGTCATATTCATTAAAAAATAATGGTTCTTTACCTATATCCCATTTTAGAAAGGGAAAAATTTGCAATAGTACAAATAATATGTTCTAGGTATTTTTAGTTTATTTAACTCTTGTTAAGATCATTCATTATTTTCCGCATTGAAACTACCTAAACTAGGTCTGTACTATATTAGGTAATAAGAGTGGATTAGGATACTTCTAGGTGAAAAACGCAATAAGTTACCACGGCCCTGGCTACGAGCAGGAGTCGATATGGAGTGGTTTTTAGCCTGAGTCTGACTCCCCCTCTCGCCTCTCCCAAGGCAGTAGGACTCATTTCATGATCCTCAAAGACCTGGGAATTAAACTCAAAACTTAGTAAGTAGGCACTTGACTAGTGCACTTAGGCCACTCGACTAAAGAGATTGTCTAAAGCAAAATCGTTATTGAAATTGGCCATAAAACATAGATATACTAGGAATCCAGTAAATCAGGGCGCGTTTTAATTTTCGGGGTCGACTGTGCCCAAACTAGCACGCCGACTGTCATGTGACACCCATAATTCTGCACGCGATTACCACCAACGCGGACAGCTGCTTTGGGCCTTAATAAAATAATCTAATTAGGTACAAAGTCGAATACTCCACCTATAAGTACCTACCAATAATATCCTCGTACACATTACAAGGAAGCTACAAAAATGTTATTTTAAATTGAACAATTACTTCAATGGTATATGACTCATTTTGATACTGGCCATGCTATCGCTACCGGCCATCAGTATTGTCCGTTTTGGGGCTAGACAGATTTTCTCACTATTTAACGTTACATGAAAAATAATTATAAGTGCATAATAATTGTAATTAACTTTTTATTCATTGAAATAATCGGAGTCTGAATTTAATTTGAAATCTGAATAAACTGTAATGGCGACCAGTCTTATAAAATGTGTAGGTAATATAATCAGCCTACTTTAGTCTGCTTAGCAACTACTCAACCACACGATCGCATTGCACTGCGATATGAATCTAATAGTACAGTTATGGTAATTGTCACAGGTCACAAATTGTCTCAAATGCTAATAATAGTGGTCCTCTGTTCCCCCTCGAGGTATTAAGATTCAGTATTCTGCTTGGTGGAACACCACGTGATAATTCTCTGACCACGCCTCCGTGATAGGTCGTCATTGTCATACGCTTCATACTAGAGTACCTAGTCCAATTGTAACTTATGACTTCTCATTGCTTGTGTTATGCGTCATATGTGCAACCTGTGTCTGTTCGAAGCAGACACACTGTCGCCAAAATATGTTAACGTTAATTTAGTTTAGTCTTTGTTTAATTTTTGTTTTTTAATTAGGTCCAACGAAGTACATATCTAAGTACCTATCCCAATTTTGTATTTTTGCAGTCGACAAAGAGTGAGGTTGCAGATTAAAGTCATTTGTAGTTACTTTAAGATAGTTTTAACCAGAATGTTGAAAACTAATCCTAGATTCTATTATATTTTCTTTTCTAACAATTTTATAGATCACCTTGACCAGTTCGCTAAGTAAATGAGGAAACCACCACATCTGCAATTACGTAAAAGTTAACACGTATTGGTCTATTTCTCCTCAGGTACTGGAGAGTCAGGCAAGTCGACGTTCATCAAGCAGATGAGAATTATCCATGGCTCCGGCTACAGCGACGATGATAAAAGGGGATTTATCAAACTCGTCTACCAAAATATATTCATGGCAATGCAGAGTATGATACGCGCTATGGAACTACTATCTATACAATATGGAAATCCGTCCAACTCAGTGAGTATTTATTTTTAAATACAGAACTTTTAAATTGATAGAAATAAAGGCGGTCGTAAAAATGGCGGACCGAATATCAAAATATTTATGTGCCGACCTTTGTCTGTAAAGACCTAGCTACTAGCTACCATTTCATTACTTTGCGATATACCTACGCTAGCCGGATGGAATCGAGTGCTGTAATATGCTTTGCTAAATAATTGGTGACCAGTTTTGTCAAAGGAAAAAATATGCTTTTGTCACGGAAAGACTACCGTATTTGTAAATATGAAGTTTTAGAAGCACCGCCATATTATGTTGTGCAATAAAACTATTAAACTGTCAAACACCAAGCGGTCACCGGTGACCGCGACCTATTGTTCTTTAACTCGTCGAGTACCGGTTTTATAGACACAATTAAAGAACAATAGGTCGCGGTCACCGGTGACCGCTTGGTGTTTGACAGTTTAATTGTGTCTATAAAACCGGTACTCGACGAGTTAATAAATAATTAGATAAACTATAGTTAGGTATTTCAAATATTGTAAGAATTTATGGTAAACAATCCTTTTTGTCCTGATGACGAATGTAATATGGGAATTCACACTGAAACTGCACAAACAGACTGCTAAGCAGTATACTTATCATTATTGTGTAATTCCAGGAAAAGGCGGAGTTGATATCATCGATCGACTTTGAGAGTGTGACAACGTTTGAAAGTCCCTACGTCGAAGCCATCAAGGCTTTGTGGGCTGATGCTGGCATCCAGGAGTGTTATGATCGTAGGCGAGAATATCAGCTTACCGACTCCGCCAAATAGTAAGTTGTGTTACAATTACTACCACTTACTTACAAAACGTCACTTAGAGAATCGTAAATTCCATCTTTATGTGATCTATCTAGTTTATAAAAAGGAACTAAGTATGTTTACAATCTGACATTGTGATTAGTAATTGAATACCGTATTCATGCATTCGTATTGTGTCGATCCCTTTATTAATAGCATCGCAATGAATAATCAGGTAATTATCTCACAAATAATTTCCTACAAAGCCGGCGACATATTGACTCATCGCCATATCTGCAATCCCGGTTACAGGAAACTAAATGATGGTCGGGAATGTCGACTAAAACCGCGAAAGATTGCCTGAGTACAATATGATGTCATAATCCAAATTAGTAATAATTCAATAAGTGGAGTGCTTCAGAACGTTCACCTTAACCTATTGAGCCTTTGCCGTGTTTCTTGGGAATACTAAGAAACAAGTTAATGGCAATGAAAGTAGTAAAACGGACCTGTATGAATGTAATATAATTTGCAAAATGTTATACATATACCCATGGACGGTATTGCATTGTTACGAAATGAGGATGTTCAATATCAAGTCAAATCATTATGTTGAGTTAATTTAAATTGAAAATTAAGTATTAATGTGTACCTAAAACTTAAATTAGATCCACACTGAGAAAAAAATGTTTCTATAGCTACTTGCAGGAGATTGACCGCGTGGCGGCACCAAATTACTTACCAACCGAACAAGACATACTGCGCGTAAGAGTCCCAACAACGGGCATTATAGAATACCCATTTGACCTGGAAGAAATACGATTTAGGTAAAATATTGAACATGTAAAGGCTGTGCATGTCTCGCTTCACAGGTGCATGGTATCATGGGACTATACTCTCTATTTCTTGTTGCAACTTTATATCTAAGTGTATGTGTGTAACAGGTTCTCTATGTGCATGTGTCTGCATACTGGCTGTTAGCGCTGCATGATATATATTTCAGCTATTTAAGTGACTTGGCAAGAATCGAAAAAGACGATTACCTCCCGACCGAGCAGGATATCCTGCGAGCTCGTCAGCCGACCACCGGCATTCTTGAGTATCCTTTCGATCTTGACGGAATCGTGTTTAGGTATGTCCAAAACCACAGGATTGTTGGGTGCGATTGAACAACGCTAGTAGTACCCGAAGAGCTATTTCCCTTTGATTTTACTACAGTGTATTCCATATTAACTTTAAATAAAACAATGAGTATTTTTACCTTAGTGCTGTAAAGCAGATTCCGAAAAAACCCGTATTGTTTGAAGTTGTTCCCTTTAAAGCTAAAGGTGTGGTTTTGATATACTAATTGTCCGTCGATCGTGCTTGTATTTGCTTGTATAGTGGAACTATGCATTCATTTCATGCACTATATATAGTTCACCAGTTATTATCAATATGCTTTTGGGCAGCGCTTTGCTTATTGCTTGGGGTTTTAAGTGATGACCACATAGTCTATTTACTCTCGAAATTAATATCAATCCTTATTGATACCTAATATAGTTTGAAATCAGTTAATCTGTTGGCTGATGGTTATCAATACACCAATCTTTATGAGCCAGACAGATAAAATAAGGATTTCGATATTAATTTTGTGTGTTATGTGACAATGCTCATCTTAGGAAGTAGCCTTGATGTGTATTGTCTGATTACATTAAAATGTCATGAAATAAGGAACCTACAAACCTCCTTGTGGGCTAGTTTGCGAGTTATCCACGTGAATCGTCACGTGACTATTACATGTACTAATTGGGTAATGAGATTATGACTATTTCTTTTTTTCTTGAACCAATACAGCACTCATTCGCTGCTCTACCATATTTCTGATGATGACGGCTTCGAATTTTAATTATACTTTGTCTTGATTTAAAAATAATATGTCCAAATCGTATGATTTTATAATACTTTTTCACCCCTAAAACATTATTACAATCATCATAAGAATTATATCAACATTGTAAAATAGATGATGCATATTACATAAGAAATTCTCCACCAGTTACTATTTACAGCAGTTGGGCTAAAATCATCATTAGAGCTGCAGCCATTAATTCACTGCCCATCATAAAGCAGTCACTATATCACATTGCACACTTCGTATGTCTGTTTACACTATTCATAGTATTAAATCATCTAATCATTGAATTCTAGCATGTTTGGTGTGTCGAAGATACCAGTTTTAATTAGGTTAGACTTTTTTGCAATTTCACTACTAACATACCTTTTTGATACTTTTATTATTGCTATTTATTGTTGCTTTACATAACATTCTATGTATGTGTATTAATCACCACCTGATTTCATCTTAACATTGTTATCTTTGTCTGGGATTCGTGTGTTTGGTCATTGGTTTCGTTATTTTCTGCTAAAATTTTTGTGTGTATATTTTTCGAAATTTGATGGCAGTTTGACACTGACAGTTCAAGTAATTGACAAATCTGGAAAGTCTAATTGGCAGCCATTTTGCTATGCCAATATATTGAAGCATGCTGCGACTATCAAATTGGCTGTAACAGTCTTTAGGTGAAAAGTAAGTAAGATAAGTCGCAAAAATATGTGAGAGAAAGGACTGAGCTAAAATTAATTGTTTAACAGTACGTACTCTCAAACCACGAATAGCAGAGTTTAACATCATTTATGTAATAACATGTCCTGCACTTAACAAAGTTTTTACTCCAGCTTCTTGTTCAGCCATATTGTATTTATTTAATTAATTAATTTTTGTACGTGTCCAAACAGAATGGTCGACGTCGGCGGACAAAGATCCGAGCGAAGGAAGTGGATTCACTGTTTCGAAAATGTGACCTCAATCATATTCTTAGTAGCTCTTAGTGAATATGATCAAATTCTGTTCGAATCGGAAAATGAGGTGAGTGACATTACTATTTTTTATTTTTATTGTACTTATATCCTTACTAATCCTTACTATCCTTACTTCCTTACTAATATTATAAATCTGAAAGTGAGTTTGTTTGTTTGTTCCACCTTCACGCCGTAACTACTAAACCGATTGCATTGAATTTTTGCAGACGTAAAGTTAGTAGTCCGGATTAAATAATAGGGTACTTTTTAACCCGTAAAAAATTGATATTCCCGAGGGAAAACAAAAGTATTGGTATAGATGGCGCTGTATGTATTGGTATATGCCACATAGGCTACTTTTTATCCTTTTGTGACGCGAGCGAAGCCGCGGGTAAAAGCTAGTATATTATAAATGTGAAGTTTGTGTGTATGTTTGTTACTCAGTCACGTCAAAATGGCTGGAGGGATCGAGATGAAATTTGAATCATGTGTAGATTAAGGTCTATCATATAGGCTGCATTATACCACGGCAACGCGAGCAAAGCCGCTGACAGAAGCTAGTACGTCATACAAACGTCATTGGGATTGTACAGTTATTTGCTGAACTGTAGTCAGCATTGTTACTATGTAAAATAAATTGCATAGCACAGGACAATGACGGCATTATTTTTATTTTATATCGTCATCGTCATGACGTAAACGGTAAATGAATAATTCAAAAATAGTGCGATTTTCCTTACTTCCTTCCTGAATTGAAGATTTATTTCAAGACATCATAAAGTAGTTTGTAAAAGATGACAGCTCATTGAATATTTAGAGAACATTGTTAATCATATCTTGGTGGCTGGTCCAGTTTTAGGATGGCGCCTGTTACAGTTTACTACTGAACTGTAGACCACGTCGATATAAGAAGTTTTTCCAAACTTCTCCCTTTTAGGTTATACGCAGGCGTTATTTATCTACGGAGCCGCGGAAAACTTAACGGGTTGCCGGGGCTCTGGCTCGAAGTGCAGGAGTAGGAACGGAGTGGTTTTTAATCAGTAAGAGTCTGACACTCTCTCGCCTCATCCGGGCGGGAGAAGTCATCGGATGAATGAAAAAAGGCTTTATTATCTGCTCTGTATAAATAAACGTTTTGCAAAACATACTCCCTCCTAACTGTACTGCATTTATTTGCCCTGTATCTTTGGCCATACATATTTCATAACGTATTTGAAATAAATTCCCTGATAGTATACATTTTCCTTGCTTTCACACTATGACACAATGTCGATCGGAGTTCCCAGATACGTGGGGAAAACCATTTTATAACCATAATTAACATAAATTATTAGACTCGACTAGATTCAAGCAATGCTAGAGGCTCATGTTCATGAGCCGAAGACAATAATTTATTTAGCATGTCTCACGAAAGTTATAATACACAATTAGCATTTTGCAATGTCGGATAAAACTTAAAATCACTGCAGAATTTTACTTTTGTACCTTTCATATTCTGGTACACCTTGGAGTAATAGATAAAGCGCCATAAGTTGCCAGGGCTCCGGCTTTAAACAACTGGGAACGAGGTGGTTTTTAGTCAGTAAGAGTTTGATACTTTCACGCTTCACTTAGGTCGCGGGTTGGGGTCATTATTAGATGATTTTCTCTCATCAAAAAGAAAAATCAGTTATTACAACAATATTATTAAACCGTTACAGAATCGAATGGAGGAGTCTAAGGCACTGTTCAAGACGATTATCACGTATCCATGGTTCCAGCATTCATCTGTAATTCTCTTCCTCAACAAGAAGGATTTGCTTGAAGAGAAGATCATGTATTCGCATCTCGTCGACTACTTCCCCGAATACGACGGTATGTACACAGCCTTATATTAGTCTAAAGATGAAAAATATCACAAATGGTGAAGTGTGGATCCGGTGTTTATAATACACACATTCAAATTCAAGGAAATTGTCTAAGTATTGTAAATTGAAGCAATGTTACCCGTGTAACCGATTTATTTATTTATTCCTACTCGGATTTAATAGTCAGGTAATATTTGATAAGCATTAATGATTAAATCAATAATGACTACTTAATTATGAACGATTACTTCTGACAATGATATGAGTGATAAAATCAGATTAATAATATTATGTGGTTTGAGTTATTGAATTAGCCTTTCCACAAATAAGATGAGTTCTATACAAAGTATTAACTTAATATGACTTCACGATTGTGCAGCACTCGGATGTGCCACCAGCTGCTGTACATCGTACTGCGGATTCGATTCCCGCACAGAATCACTATGTGATTCAGAAATTGTTGGTATTTCAAACATACTTGTAACACGGGAGTACATTAGTAGGACAACAAAAAGATCTAGCGATGATAAAATAACGATTTTATTCAACAACTAGGTCCGAAGATGGAAGCCCCGCCAGCATTAGATTTCATTCTTCAAAAATATTTGAAAGAAAACCCGGATCCTGAGAGATCGTGTTATTCTCACTTCACCACAGCCACAGGTTGACATTAATATCCTGTGTGGTATACCGCTAGTTTTCAATTGACGTGAAATATATCAATTTAATTGGAAATAACGGCTTACTTCATGTGAAATGACAGAAAAAGTTACTAGTTTGACACTGGCAGTATAGTCGACAAGATCATTTTGGAGACTCGTTTGCCAAAGAGAGAGAAAAAAAAGTTACTAGTTTCAAGTCAAACGTTCATGTGATAGTTGTTATTTTCTATTAATATCGCTAGTTAACTAGGCACCGTGTGATATGCTAGAATTTGTTATAAAGGTAGTCTTCATTGGTTTTGATGTGTTGAAAGTAATCTAAATAGTTATATTCATAAAGACAATGTCTAGCGTTGCTGTATCTACTGATATTTTTCTTATATCAGTTGAAAGAAGTATAAAATGGTTCTAAGGTGGTATTTGACCTTCCATTTCAAGGACTTAAATTGTTACCATTGATACAAGGGCCATATCATCACTATTATCAATCAGAAGGCGATCTTTCCCGAATAAAGGCCTTCACGGCCTCTTCCTTTAGTCTTCCACTCGCCATTCTAATCAGTGGTCCTGTCCTGGTTCCTCGCGACGCTAACCTTATAATAAACATTTTTTTTTAACTGAGTACATGGTAAATAACCAATAAGTTTTTATTATAAACTTAAACAAAACCAAACCAATGAAGATTAACTCTATAACGCTACATATAAATGCGTAGTATTGCTAGATATGTGTATGTTGTCCCGAGCACAGGTCCGCAACGTGACGCCAACACTGCGCGTGAGTTCATACTGCGAATGTTCGTGGATCTCAACCCGGACGCTGAGAAGATCATCTACTCACACTTTACGTGCGCGACAGGTCAGTTCATTAGTTTTAATTACACAAACGGACGTAGTAATGTCACAGAGTAACTTTTGGTTTATAAAGTTGATTAAAAACTTTTTCTGGTGTTATCAATCTATAGATTTATTTATGTTTTTGAGAGATAAAGAGTTACACTATGATTTTACTTGTTTTTATGAAATCAAAACCAGCTAAATTTCTCTTACGTGTGGTTCAAATGGGTTTATACAAATGTGTTGTTTTGATTTTATTAAACATTAATTGGCAGTAAAAGATTTAGCTGATTTTTGTTTCTATATGACTTCAACAGACCTAATAAAACTATTCTTTTGATATAATAATGAATGCCAATACATTTGAATCCATGTCCTTTAATCTAAAAAAAAAGTGTAAGATTATATTTTATCAAAGGTTTCTATAAATCAGCGTCTAAACTGAATTTGGTTTCAAAGTTTCTGCACTTGAATAATACTCATTTTCTCATGGCAAATTATCACAATCGACTAATATATTCCGAGAGCAACTTTATCAGGATTTTAAGGTAAGCTGTAGCCAACTAGCTATTTTAAATCTTATTTTAAGTGTACATACCCACCCCATTGGCTCAGCGACACAAAGCCCTTTGGACTATGATACGAGAACATCACGGGTCAAATCGAGTTGAGTTTAAAAAAAACCTTTTTATTTGAACCTAACATATCAAATTACCTTAATATTTTGTAAAAGGCTGCCAACGTACTTGCAGCACTTGTATTGCGCATGTCCCTGGCCTGCGCCAATCACCTACTATCAGGTGAATCAATGATATATAAAAAGAAAAAAATAATATAAAGGAAAGTAGTTGTAGTAGATTTATAATTTTAACTTAAGTTCCATTCAATAGCTGAATCTACTGATAAATGGCCAATGCCATTGGACATTATCTTCATTATAATTACTGTGGGGTATTTTGATCCACATATTTATATTATATGCACATTTTCAATGTTATTTACTTTCTGTTTGCTGGGTTGATGCACTGTTTTGTACTTGTATGCTTGTTTTGTGTTGCTTGTTTGTCGTAGTGGTTGTTATTGTATTTTATGGGATGAATGGCTAAAGAAGTAGATAGTTTGTTTTATTTATGTCCATCATTTGATGTGTACTACAATTTTGTTTTTACTAACCAATGTTTGTGGTTAAAATTCCTTAAAATATACAATTCGATTTAAAGAAGTTTAATTAACACGTATAACCAATTTTTTAAAATATTTAGCAAATAAAGCTAATTCTGAATTTTATACCATATTTTAAACCCTTGCTTTTATAAAATGAATACGTAATTTTATAAGCCTTGCTCCTCGTGGACCTGGCACAGTTCCGAACTGTACATAACTGACTTATTATTTTTAATTATCTGCATGTTTTATTTTATAGCTGTCCGCAACTTACACTTTTATTTATGTTGTCTATTTTGCATGCTGCCTTGGATATTTTTAAAGACACGGAAAACATTAAGCTTGTGTTCTGCGCTGTTAAAGATACCATCATGCAGTCTGCTCTCAAGGAATTCAATTTGGCATAACTTAACCTAACGCCCTTAATCATAATTAAATCTTATACTCTATGGACTAATGACTAATTAAACATTTATTTTTAATACTAACCTGCATGTTTTATTTGTTTATCCCGTCTGTCGTGCTTCATGCATGGGTCTTGCATGTTACATGTGCATTTTAACGCTTTTATTGTTTTGTTCTAACAGTGTTCTTATTTATTTAAATGCTTCGTGGAATAATGATTTAATTAATGAATAGAAATAATTACAAATGTAACTACTCCACACATTTTCTTGGAGATGTCAGTTATTTATTACCATAAACAACAATAATGTTGCTTAAATTGTTTATGAAGATGAAAGTAAGATAAAGTGCAGGTATTTTGCAAACCAAAGTTGCCATTACTAAGTTTCACAGTGTTCTGATGCATGTATGAACTTAAGTGATAAGTATAACGTTTGAAAATATACTAATTTTATAGGTATTTTGTCTTGAGAATGGTGTGTAACTTCAAACAATATGTTTAATTCCAGACACTGAGAACATCCGGTTCGTGTTCGCTGCAGTCAAAGATACAATCCTACAATCCAACTTGAAGGAGTACAACCTCGTCTAAGCGAAACCAAGGTCCCTGACACAAATCTGTGATTGTGTAAAACACATAATTTAAACATCATCACTCGACGTCAGAATGTGTATGTAAATTCGCGAACTGAGATCGGATGGACGAACTAATTTCAACTTAAAATGTTTAATGAGAAAATAAGGATAGATTGTAAGTCATTTAACCCAAAAAATAGAGTCGGGAGTGCGGCGTCCAGAGCCCTTGCGACCGCACTCCCTTCGACAACATTCGTTCTCGATCCGTACGGATCGTGTCACGACGCGTCAGGTTTTTTGACATGTTTTTTTATGATGAAGTTATTCACAATTTATGTATGTGTCTGTATTGGTGAATATTAAATTGTGCATTTTAAAAGTTATGGTGAGTCTTGGCCTTACCATGAGCTGCTTTTAGTCATTGTTTTAGGGTTTTTTTTTTGTAAAGTTTGTTGCCATAATATCTTTCTACATTAGTATACATTTTATTATGTCCAGACGGATGGATTTGAACAAACTAGTCCAATGAAACGCGTGTTTAGTATCATCCTCGTGGGTCGAGACAGGACTTCCTATTAAGGTATTGATCGGGATGCTTCTGTTATTATTACGTATTTATTTTAGCTATGGTAAGTTGTCTGGTATAGCTGCGATCGACCCAGAGTAGCGCGTGTCGGGCGTTCGCCTTGCCGGCACTCTCTCTACCTACCGATTAAATTCACTAGAGGTAATTATAAATCGGTACCCTATTTTCTGTTAAATTGAAAGATTATAACTTTATAACTGTATTTAATATTTCGTTACTTTTGTACATTGGATTTTTTGTTACTTGAATATATGTTAATATTTAAGCTGTTTATATTTAAATATGGTGTTTTTCTACACGAATTGACTTCACGCAAAATGTTTTATGTTAACTGTAGGCTTTGTGTACGCTGTGGTCTGGTGTATTGGTTTCTTCCTAACGTTATCCATGTACAATGTTCATTAATAAAACATAAATAATGAAAATATAGGAAGTTACTATGTTAGTTGTTTAAGGAATTTTTGATGCATTTGATATAAACTTTTTTTACTAGAGAAACCCTCGGAATAAATCAAAGCGAAACGTGGATTGTAAAAACCGAAACCGAAGTTTTTTGCACGAACGCTTTTACCAGTATGTAATATATTGTACATTTGGTCTAAATGAGCTGAGTGAATTGAGCTGACAGTTCAGTGCCAAGTTTTGCTATTGGCATACTTTTTTATCGTAACGTGAAGCACAAAGTATATACCTACATTTTATAATTGTTTTCCATATTTTAGAATATTTTATTGTACCATGCTTAATTAAGAGTGTTGCTTCGTGTTATTATTTAGTTTTATTAATGTATAAGAAACCAAGTTTCGTTTTAAAGATATATAATTATTTGTATTATTTGTTGTTGTGTCTTAATTTCTCTTCGATTTCGACTTTCTATTCTTATCTATGGACCGCTAAGCACAAGTGACACTGTCAATAGCAAAACTCCATGCTTTAATTAAGATACAGCTGTCTGATGCTCAAAGTAATGTGACGTTGTTGAAACATAGCGCACAATATTGGAAATTTCTATTTGATGTTACCCACTGATGTGCAATCTGTGTATGCCGTGTACATAGAAACTGTATTTGTTTTGTGCATTTGTACAGCAATAGTGTGAGTTAATTTGACGGGACGCGGTTCTGTGCACCCCGTGCAGGCAGTGCAGGCACGAGTGGGCCGACTGTCATGCACTGTACACGACTACTTCCATGCCGTACCAAGTTGTCGCTACTCCGCGCTCCACCGACGCTCGTCTTCGTATAAATACGTTTTATACGTTCGGATGTAACATTTACAATAATAGATACAATAGTATTCTATTACTGGTTCACATTGACATTCAATGCATGAGCTTGAATTTATATTTATTTGCAGTAGTCTCAAAACGAAACAAAGCACAATGAAATTATACATTGGTGATTAGTTCGATACAAGACGAGCGTCGAGCGGTCGTGACCGGTGTCGTCTGACTTTAAGTGCCGACAATTCGTATCTTCCTTACGAATGGACTGAATATCGTGTACTGGTGTGTGGTTCTTACTTATTTGTTTCTACGGTTGGGCTACACAAATATTGCTAAAACTATATTATAGTCTAACGTTGCTTTACCTTTTGCGTGAGATTGTGAGAATTTTAGCTTAAGTTCCGACTGAAGATGGATGCCTGAATGAAATATTGTAAATTATAATTTCTCATAAAATATAATTTTTTTCAGCTAAACGAGTCGTTTTATTTTTACATAATACCTAACTTTACCTAAATAACTTGGTCCCTATGACCGTGGCGTCTCTGGCAACACGCAAATGTATTCTCATTGGCGTGATTTCCACGTGATGTTAGTAGAAAATAGAAATGCTATTATAAAACTATTACTACACAATAGATAAATGACCGTTGATACAAACCATTACGTGTTAGCGTACATTAGGTACATTGAAACACAAATGCAAAGTTGAACGTGTTTACGGTCATTTAACAGCTAACATGGAGATAAGCGAGTTAAGCTTCGTGTCATATTGGAATTCCACAACCACAGCCGGCAGTAAATTAGGTGACATGGCCGCTGCAGTTGCTACGCAGAACTTTGATTTAACCTATGCGACGTTACTGTTTTTCAATTCAACTTTATGCTTCGGTGTTGAAGTGTTTTTGAATATATTTAATTACAGTGTAGTCATTAACAGAGGTACATTGGAACAAAGTTTACTGAACAATAATACACAGCAGTTTGTACTATTTGCAACTGACGCTGCTGATGTGGAAGTTATACTCGATACCATGATAGATTTTGAAATTGATAATACTGGAAAATTCATTATCGTTTGCGAGTCACCAGTACAAAATGAATGTGACGAACAGGACATTATGGACCTGTGTTGGAATTACAGAATCGTGAATATTGTTTTTATCAGACTTGAAGGAACTGAAGCTATCGGTTTCACATACTACCCGGTAGCAGACGGCATATGTCACAATTTAAAACCAGTGAAACTAGACTACCGCAATCAATATACACATACAAGTTATGGGGAAGTGTTCAGTAACAAGTTTCGAAATCTACATTTTTGTCCGCTGACAGTCTCAACCTTTATACAACCACCTTATATTATGAATATAACGAACGGAATTCCAACAGGCTCTGATGGGGATTTACTTCGGTTGTTAATTCACGGTTTGAATGCAACTCTAAAAATGATGACACCAAGTCGTGGTACTGGGTGGGGATGGCGTGAAAAGAATGGTACCTGGATGGGGTCTCTTGCAGACGTAAAGGACGAATTGGCAAACTTTTCAATGACCTCAGCAGCCCTTACATTGTCGAGGTTCTCTGACTTTCAAATATCGTCTAGTTACTTGGTGACAAAAGTGGTGTGGGTCACACATCCCGCACAAATACAAAATGTGGCATTAAAATTGTTGCATCCTTTTGAAGAAGACGCTCGAATAGCTTTACTGGTGAGTTTCTTCCTTGTCGTTCTCTGTGCTTTTATTATCAAATCCTACTTCTGGTCGTCAACTTGTGGCGTGAATGAAGAAGCTGAATTGAGCAAGAGTATGGTGTTTTATGCATGGATGCTATGTATGGGTCAATCAATCATAAAAATTCCCACAAAAATGTCGTTTTTACAAATGGTATTTATTTGGATATGGTACTGTTTTCTCATTAGGACGGTGTATCAAGTATACCTTATTAGTTCGTTGAAAGGAAAGTTTTACGAAGAACAATTTCAAACAATAGAAGATGCGATTCATGCAACATATCCCTTTGGTGGCGGTCCAGCACTAAAGGACTATTACATTGACAATCCAGTGGTTCATGATAAGTGGGTAGATGTCGACACTCCTCAAATAATGCCGACTGCTATGAAACTGGTAGAAGGTATGAATTTTGTTCTAGCGATGAACATTGATGCAGCTTACATAGCAATTAAAAAGAGTAAGGTCAGTTTACACATTCTGCCTGAAAGAATTATTTCTAGTCCAACAGTTATGTTTTTCAAAAAATATTCTCCTTTATTGGAACCGATCGATTTGGTCATGGGTCGCCTGACTGCTGCTGGATTTCCTATTAAGTTGAAACAAGTATATACCAGTATATTACAATTGAAAAATGGAGATGCTAGTACTGAAGAGGAGACCCTGAAGATTCGACACTTTACAGCTTGTTACGCTGTTTTAATATTGGGCTGGATTCTATCAGCCTTATTCTTTTCTTTAGAAGTTTATTTTGGTAGAGTGTACCGACATCCTTCGCACTCATTATTACAAATTATATAACATGTTAAGCGAAAATAAACTATAATAGATTAGAATACCTAATAAACTTGGGTTAAAAACGTAAATCTGATTATATTGTATGAAGAATTGATGATGCATTACAGTAAAAGCAATCATAATATATAGTAGATGCATATCCATACAACACCGTTACATGTTATTTAGCCATCAGTACGTGTAGGTAACTTCATATGCAATTACAGTAAATTACACACCTACACAGGCGTGCGCTTTCAATTTTACGACAGCGAATCATTAGTAGACAATAGAAATTCTTTCGAACACCAACAAACATGGAGGTTTGTGACAAAGAAATACGGAACCAAACATTTGACCACTTTCGTACTGCAGAAGAACCAGCTTCAGAACTTGGATTACTGGCCGCCAAGATAGCTTTATACAGTTTTGAATGGCGGTATCTGACAGTTATAATATTTAATACAATAGAAGTAATCGGCCTCAAGACATTTTTAAGGGCGTATCGGCAACCGGCTGTTGTGAGGCTGGGTAAATTCACTTCTACAAACTCACGTCGATCTGATGTAAAGCAGATGGTCATATTTGGCGAAGATTCTTCTGAAATATCTAGTACACTCCGATGGGTCGCTAGATCTAAATATGACTGTAATGGAAAATTTATAATAATTTGTGCATTTGTCAATCAAAATTGTGATGAAGGTAAAATTTTCAAGACGCTTCATGATTTATTCATTACTAATGTTCTGCTTTTGAAACCGTCACAATCGTCCAACAGGACCTCGGCCTATTCATATCGAATAGCTACTTCGGAAAGATGTAACAATTATATTCCCTATAAATTGAATATATCCTTGAATTGCAGAAATGATGAATGTCTTAAAGGACTTTTCGAGGAAAAATTATCTAATTTCCATCAGTGTTCCCTTTATGTTTCAACTATAAATCAACCACCTTTCATGTATTTTTACAATAGTACAGTATATGCAACGGGCATTGATGCAGAAATAATGCAACTGGCAGCAGATATATTGAATGCAAATCTAACTTTTATAAAACCATCTGATAGCACGGACCCCGGACACTACACTAACAATAACTGGACTGGATCATTGGGTGACATATTCAATAAACGCATACACGTTTCTGCGTGCTCAGCACCACTAACGTCCAATAAATATGGAAATTTCCAAATATCCTTCACATATTATTCTATGGATATAGTGTGGGCTGCAAGGCTTCCATCGCAAAAGTCCTCGTGGGAAAAACTTTTAAGCCCTTTAACTATTCTCCTTCGAGTTTTATTAGTACTCATGTTTATTAGTATCGGGTTCGCAAATACACTTTGCAATACAAATATTGGCCGTAAATTAAGAACAGTCTTTCAAATGCCGTCACCAAAGTATAGTTTGCTGTTTTATTCGTGGATACTATTTCTTGGCATGCCGATTTTAAGATTACCGTCGAGAAGAAGTTTTCTCGTATTAGTTTATACTTGGATATGGTTTTGCTTTGTGATAAGGAGTATTTACCAAGCAGCTCTAATTAATTCCCTGAAAAATCCAGTTTATTTACCAACTCTTAAAACATTTCAAGATGTTATTAGAGATGGATATCCTTTCGGTGGGTTAGCGACCTTGAGAGATTATTACTCTGATGATCGTGCTATTTACGATAGATGGGTAGTTTTGGACCTAGCTCAAGTGCCCGAGACTCTAAATAACATTTTAGATGGAACCACGGATTTTGTTCTAGCTTGTAACAAAGAGGTGATAAAACATTATCTGATGCAGTTCAACGGCATTAAAAAGCTGCAAATAATACCAGAGAAAATTGTGAACAGTCCTACGGTGGTGTATTACAAAAAGTTTTCACCAGTAACGAATCCATTGAATGCCGTTTTACGTACTGCTACTGAAGCGGGTTTTATACAGCGTACATTTGATCGGTATTTAGACAGAGATAGAAAACTACTTCGACTACTCAGAAATCAAGCTCAAGAATCTCTAAAGATGGAACATTTTACTGGCTGCTTCGTATTGCTTGTACTAGGTTGGGCCGTAGCTGTTACTTACTTTGCCGTAGAGTACATCTGTGGTAACTTAAAAGATGAGTGATAAGAATTTGTTTGGGAAATATGTTACACTCTAGCTTTTTAAAATAAATACACACTTTGAATGAAATTGTTTATTATTTAAAACAAGCTTAGTACTTGCTTCTTTATTTCACTCTTTCATATTGTGTACTGCATACAGTTCCTATATAAAAATAGGCCAAGAATAATATTATACATTTTTTCACTCATAATTGCATGATATCGGTGCCAAGCCCCGTTATTCGCGCCGTACGATCACAATGACCGATTGCGCTACATTCCTGTTAGGAAGTCAGCCAAATGCATTATTTTTATGAGACAAAGCCTATTAAGTTGCTTCCTTTTTCAACGCCTCGGTTATGTAAGAGGTATTTGTCAAAATATAACTCTTATCTATCAAATCTCTTGGTTTCTCTTCTCTTTTTACCATATAAGATATTTTCGGGGTAAAGAATATTTTTCTTTACATTTAGACTCACATGGCATTCGAAAGGTAGTTCTATTAGTATTCTAGTATTACCAAATGTCGTTAGTACAAGTTTTTTGGTGATTATACTTACTAAGTTAGGTATATACAGGGTGCCTATTAGCATTATCTTTATTCTCAGGGACAAAAACAAATATTTATCGCACGTGTAGACATCTTGGTGGATTGGTTTAGACAGAAAAGTTCAACAATATTGGCTAACCTTTGAATGGAAATGTTACGATCTCTTTACCTGAAATCTATTTTCGCTTAAGTCGCAATATACATATATATGTAATGACATATTAGTTATTATAGGTAATGACCTAGGTACATATTTTTATTGAATTAGATACCTACTGATCCACGAGTAACTATTGTGATTTTGTTGACATTAAGAAGTAAATTGATTTGAATTTCTACGTCTTTAGGTAGTCTATATTGGGTGAATGAAAAAATGAAGTACTAAATCAAATTAATGTATTTATCATCTTCAATAATCACATAAAGCTTAGTAGTTAGACTACTTATCTACAATTACTAACTTCTAATAGGCCTCATTATAACTGCCTCATTGCCGACTGGACGCAAATGCGACTGTAGAAGTAGCACGGAGTCTGGAATTGTACTCGGTATATGTTAATAGGACTCTAGCGAAAAGTGGATGTTACATTGCACTGTTTCATTAAGTACCGTAGTGTTCACCTCTCCCTACCTCTTCGGGGATAAAGGCGTGATGTTATGTTATGTAATGTGAAACAAATTAAGAAAAGTTTTCAAGACTAGTATTACATATACCAACCAGACCTATAGATAATATAATTTATGCTTAACATATGAAAGAATGTTGGTAACTTTTTGCACTGTTGCGTAGATAATTCACCGAGTAAAGATACCTACCATAGTAACATAATTAATCAGCAGTAAATTGATGTTATTATTAAGTAAGGCTATAAATCGGCTTTGTCCACAAGCTTTCGGCAACTTACCTGGTAAATAAACTCGTAATATTAATTATAATCAATTATTCAGTATGACGCAAGTAACTATGATTAGTACTACCTACCATTAGTAGTTTAGTATCCATCTAATTATTAAGGTAGGTGTACCTATTCAGGTACCTATTCCATTCCGTAAACTATGTAGGTAAGTACACTAAAACCCATATAAAATTCCTTTCAATGTAGAAACTTTGCAAGGATAGAATTTCAATTTTGTAAAGCTAAACCGTCGTAATCCCGAAGCGTCGACAAAGTTAAACTGCATTAAATAATTCAAACTCACCTTTGAACCAGCTCAATTGTAGAGGTTGACCCAAAAGAGGTTTAGTATTAGGAAGTGGATGGTTAAGTGCAAGATTTAGTAGTTCGGTAGTTTCAGCACTAAGATTGTTAAGCTTCAAGGTAGGTAAAGAAATTTTGGAGCTAAAATTTTGAATTGGGTTCTGAATAATGAATAGCAACGACGAGCATACCTTGAATTCGATCAGCTTAGATGCTATGATCATGATTGCATTAGGAATGCATGAGAGGAATCTCATGGCGATGGATAACTAATAATGAAAAGCCACGTAATATGAGTACCCTACAATGTAAGTATACCTAGGTACCTTAGATCTATTTGCTTAAAACAATTGGGACACTGACCTCCTTTGTTCCCTATAAATCAGCACGATTTAGGAATAGTTCCAAAAATAGTGATAAGATGTATGTGGGCGTATTGTGCGAGTCAATTTGACCTTAATTAGTATTAAGTGCTTACTTAGAATATGTATTTATTTAGACTTCACGAAAATAATATTTCGTAAAAATTTCAGTCAGTACCTATGTATCGAGAAAGTTCTATTTAAAAAATCATAAATGAGTTATAGAAATATTATGGATGGTTCTTTAACTACATATTTCAAAGAAACAAGGTATCATGTCAAGCTTAGGTCTCAGGTCCTTGCAAACGAAAGCAAATGTTTCCAAGAAAAGTAATCACGCTGTAGATACAGTTTCAAGACGGAACTCATTTATATTTCAAGAAAACGTTTCAGGGCTTACGTACGTGATCACTTTAATTAGTAGGAACAAGTTTTTTTAAACTTAGTATTTTTATTTAAACGTTTAATAAAAGTGTGCTTAAAATCTAGATCCTAACTATACTTACCTGTCACGGAGAACCTAACGGGTTACCGGGCCTCCGGCTCGACGGGCAGGAAAAGGAACGGAGTGGTTTTTAGTCAGTAGGAGTCTGACACTCTTTCCCGCCTCACCCAGGCGGGAGCAGACATTCGATGATTTTCGTCCCTAAAAAAAAAACTATACTTACCTACTTCCAACGTTTGTATTAGTTTGTATGCTAACTTAACCGATCATAAATAAATAATTGGATAAGTACCTACACTAGCAGTGATTGGATGAGAAGTAATGAAGATCGAGCTCAGTGGCGCGTCATTGGAGAGATTTTTGTTAAAAAAAAATAACAAACACGCTCCCGGACCAAAAGTTTTGCTTTCACAACCAGCTAAATTTTTCTGTATATTACCTACCTTTATATACTTCTACAGTATTATTATCGTCATTATAATATATAAGTAAGTATAAGTGATATCTGATACCCTCTGTGAGTTTCGAAACAATTTCAATTTGTTAAGACCTTCAAAATAACAAAGCATTTCGTTGCAAGTCTTTCTCTTTGAAATGTAGACGAAAGAGCAATTTATTTTATGTAAAGTAAATAAGTGCTAGTAAGTTACATACACAAAGGAATGTCCAAATATAAATAAATAGTGAAACCTGAATTTTACACAGTTCAATCTTTCCAAGAAAAAAATAGTGATAGTAGATACCAACGAAATGAAAAACTAAAAATGTAGGCACAAGGCTACCACTAACCGATAGAAAGCCAATAAAAACTCGGTTTTGGGAAAGCTTCTATGCACACAAAGGACGTACCATAGATGCAGTTCCAATTTCGAAAGGTACAGATACGAACAGTGATCATTTTTAGTCAAGTGAAGTTGGCGCCTGCGCAGTTCCTGCTGTCAGTTCTCTTGCTAGTCTGGAATTTTGGGATCGCCGACACCAGTGACGGTTAAGACTCCAAAGCTCCCCGTCGTTCATTGTACGGGAGCGCTCGAAGTAAAGTTTACGTCTTTCGTTGCACGGAAAATACAAATGTTTGTGAAAATTTAAAGTTTTTTGAGTGCAAGTGTACTTTTTAAGTTGAGAAAATGAAAGTCGTGTGTTTGACTGTTTCTGTTTTGTTGTTCTGTATTGTTTATGCGAAAGGTAAGTTTAATGTTTCTTTCTTCTTTTGTATTTTGGGATAATTACCTACTGATTGAAAATTTAATTTATGTTTATTGATTGATTGAAAATAAGGGTAAGTATGCATCCGATCTAGCAATAAAGTGAAACCAACTTAGAAATAACGAATTACCACAAGACAAGAGCTTTGCTTTGTTAAAATTGTTGAGAATGTAACCATTAATATAATGGTGTAGTATTTTGCAGATAAATATTTTACATAGGTATCATGTAATAATATAATAATGTAGGGATTAAAAATAAGAAACATTTTATACTTATTCAAATCCAGTGACGAATTTTGTAATCAAATTTTCTGAGACCGAAAGTATCGACCTGCCCTTATTTCGATTATTACCCTCTTGAAGATTTTATACAGTAACTTAGATTCAATGGGTCCTAAAATTGAACTTTCTTTCATCTGAATTCTTTTAGATATAAACCTTTACTTTGAGGATATAAAAAGTAGACGATAAAATAAGTAGGTACTTATTTCTTAGGTCACAACTTATCTCAGCGCTTGTTCCACAAAGTCCTATTAAGTAGGTAGCTTTAAAAATAAATTGCGTACCTATATGAAATATTTCAAATGATTCGTCAGTAAGGTAACCGAAACTTAAACATCATCATCATTGTCATCAGCCGGAATTCCGCTGCTGGATTAAGGCCTCCACGTTGAACGGCAGCTATCCACTTGCATCCAACTAACTTCTAGTGATTCTGACGATATCATCAGTCCAACTGACAGGAGGCCTATACCCACTACGTCTTCCACTAGTACCACTTGATCAATTATTTATCACTTATAGTCAGAATTTTAATTAGATTCCAGATTTGACAATAGCTACTGTCATTTTGTGAAATAATGATACCACATATAATAGTGTAGTGATGTACACAAACATCGATAAACAATCAGTGTGTGTGTTTTATAATAAATGTTACAGAAAATGACAGGATAGCGATAGCGATGACGGCGACAATTTATAAAATAACTTATTACCATAATACATCTATCTGTTTTATTTGTCATGTTCCTTCATGATTACATTTTTTTATTTATTTCACACACAATTATAAAAGAAACGTCTCAGATCGTTAATTAATCGTCAAAACTAAATTATCGGTTCAGAAATATTTAATTTCCTGATAAACTTAGTTCACGAGAGTAAAATTATAATTATTATAAACGAGAAGAATCGATCCAGAAATATTTCATTTCCATATCGAATAATTTTGCAATGTCATAACGTTGCCACACTGAAATTGTCAAATCTGGAATCGAATTAAAATTCCGAGTATAATTGAACACTTAATCTTTCTTTGTGCTCGGTACACCTAAAAAGAAGATATAAAAGATCTCGCCTGTTTGTTCTGAAGGGGCAGGTATAGATGTGCTGTAGTACTACCTACACTACAGTATATTTACAAAAACATACTTTTCTTTGTATGCCAGTAACATTCATGTACCTAGACTTCGTGCTTCGTGGTAAGAATGCCTACCAATCTTGGCAACACTACGTAGCGGTTTGATAACAGCATCCTACAACCATATTTATTAGTCTTGGATCAGTGAATCTCAATTGAAACAAGATTTTTTTATGATTTTATAATATGCTGTAAACGTTTGACTATATTAAAATTTGTAGATTGATATAACTCCAAAACCTGAATACGGACTTTTCGAATTCCCCCAAGCGAAACTAAAAATTACTGTAGTCAACTTTTAAAATAATTTCGCGAATGTTCGCAATCTATTTTGCTCGTGACAAAATAATTGAAATGTCACACGTATGAAGTTAACTTCGTAGCTCGTAGCCCGTAGCTTGTAGCTTTCGTATACTGCTACGAAAGCTACGCTAGTGCTACGAACTGTCGTAGCACTTGGAGTAATTGTTGTTTTAACATTTTAACTGATATACTAAACTTTTTTGTAATATAAAAGAATAGTATATAAAAATGTAACACCTTTTAAACGCTTCTATTAGCTTCATTTGTTTTTTTTATATAGAAGAATATAGGTAGAATACGCAAGAGCCTAATAGACATTGAATTATAATTCGGAGTACTATGCTGATAGCAATACTTACGCAATTTCAAAAAAGTTAGGCGCTTTGATAGCACTCACCATCATATTTCGAGTGGGTACCTACTTAAGTAGTACCTAACTACCTATCTGCACATAAGTGAATACGAGCAACAGTCTTGTAATTGTATATAACGTGGTTTTTAAGAAAGACATGTTTAGTCGAACCCCAAAATAGATGTTTATAAAACGTTCCGAAGCCTAATGACATCTTAGCCAACGCAAACAACGACTAAGTACAAAATTGTACCTCAAAAACAAAATCTGATATAAAATAGAACAGAAAAAAGGTGGTTTCAAAGTGAAAGGAAATTCCTCAACACCTCAAAGACAAGAAAAAGGTCGTGTTTTGTGGCATACCTTTGCCAGTTACCTCCGAGTTTTGCCGCATATGTAAAGGTCCTCTTATAACATTACCTTCTACCTCGTTTTACCTATGGCTTCACTCTGTTCAGTTTTGATTAGATGTGACTCATGTACTTACAAAGTCTTCAGGGTGGTCCTTATCTACGCCGTAAGCCAGTTTTCAAGAAGCTGACCTAAAATTCCTTATGCCTCGTGCATCTACAAATTTCTCTTTTCATCAATCAATCAATCTATTTTATCTTTTCATTTGCGTTCAAACCACCGAAAGTAACAGTTTTAGAGTAGCCTATATCTATACATCATTAGTTTACGTTTAACATATTAATATGATATTTTCAATTAATTAGGTAGGTACCTATAGTAAAATAAAACTAAAGGTATCGGACTGACCTTAGTTATCTATTATCAAGTGATTTGTTTGGTTGTTTGCGGATTTATCCATATGCCATACAAAAATCAGTTAATCGGACATCTTCCATCACTTTCTATACGTAGAAACTGTAATCCTGAATACATCCTTTCCAAATCAAACATAATATGTCTTACAAATCCAATATTTATGAAAAATATCACGACAATTCATAACATGACAACGTTAATAGCAGAAACTATTTACTCAATATTATGCTAACGGGTATAAATATCATATTTATTGGAAAAATCATACCTTTATTCTATTAGCCACAAAAGCGGTCCTTTTGTAATAAGACCCTGAGGTCACGAGAAAAATAAGAAGGAATAAAAGTTAATGCAGTATGGATCTTATGCTGGTTACGATATGGTGTATTTTGTTTATGGAAGTGCTTATAAATATGGTTTCGGATATAATAGAGATTTTTGCTTTCTCTGATTGCCTGGTTGTCGATTTTTGATAGCTGTGTTTGTCAAATGCGTAGGTATTGTGATGTGATTATATCAATTACGATGAAGGTTAAATTCTCATTGAATAATACCTCGAATGGCTTCGAGTTTACCTACGGGTTATTTGAAAGAAGACCCTTGAAAATAAGGGTTAAGGATTGAAATGTCACAAGCATAAACTATTATGTAGTCCATACTTCCATAGCTCTAACCTAACGGCTTACCGGGGCTCCGGCTCGAAGTGCAGGAGTAGGAACGGGGTGGTTTTTAGTCAATAAGAGTCTGACACTCCCTCCCGCCTCACCTAGGCGGGAGGAGCGATTCAATGATCTTCGCACATTAAAAAAAGTCCTGTAGCCTTTAGCTCGTAACCAGAGTCGTAGCCGTCGTAGCAGTTCGTAGCACCTAGGAAAAATACTGTTTTAAGTTTCACACTACTTTACACATTTTATTTTTCATGAAAAAACTAATAAGTCAAAAATTACAATACTTCAATGTACTTGTGATATAAATAAGGTCAATATTTCTGATTTTACATTTCAGGGAAATATTGTTATCTTTCGATTAACGATAAAACCCAGGATGGCTGAGGAAATGCCAAGTGGTTAGCCACTTTCGTACTCGTGGCTTAAATAATAATTAAGTAGGTACCTATCTATTCTAAAAAGCCGTGCAAATATTTTACCTACTTAGACAAACCTAAAAATATGTAAACGGAATTGCTCTTGAGGTGAGCACTTTTCACAATACTTTTTTATTTTCTTCATGAGTTACATGCACTCATTTTTTTTATGGGATAAGCCGTTATACTAGTAGACGGATCACGTGATGGTAAGCAATCGGCGTCGCCCATGTACACCTGGAACACCAGAGGGGTTACAAGTGCATTACCGGCCTTTTGGAGATTAGGAATTTGAGGATTGTTGGGAATTCAGAGATTGGGGAGGCAGGGGGATAATTGGGCCTCCGATGACCTCACTCACACGACGAAACTCAACATAAGCGTTGTTTTCTGTGAGGCCGTGGTATCAGTCCGGTCGAGCCGGTCCATTCGTGCATAGTTACACTTATTTTTTTATTAAAATTAATTAAAATGTATCATTGATCTTCTACCTATAGGTTCAGGGGAAATACTCCTAAACTTTATCTAGATTATTAAATACCTACAAATAGTTTGCACATACCTATAAAACTATAATAGTCTAACAGGGTAATTGTTGAAGTAAGTATAATGGCCTTAGTTGTACGATACTTAGTTCGGTTTATGATAGTTTGTAAGTTGAGGCCGCGAATGCTAAGTTGGGAACAGTTCGGAAGGAAACAATTTAAAGTCTCCATAATACTTCGCAACAGATAGGGCACACTGCAGCCGAGGTGAAATCATTTTTATAAAGTTTACAAACTTTCAAAGTGGTACTTCGATGTTCTTGTGTTTTTTTCTTGCTTCGGGCATTTTTACTTTACCTTGGGGTCGACACTGAGTCTCGAATAGATTTAATGTATAAAAACGTCAAGATAACGTCGGTAAAATCATTAGACTTATTTTTAAAAGCCTTTGCAACTTATACCCAGGGCTTTAGTAGGACCGCGAATGAAGTGCTTGCCTACGGCGCTCTCTTTGTTTATTCCGCCTTTTACCTTAACTATTTTCCGGAAAATCAAGATCGCA